CAGGTTTTAAAAGTATGCCCTCAAGAACCAGTTGAAATCACACCAGACAACTGGTCTGGCAAAGCCCTTCCTGCCATAGCTTGTACTGCCCAAACTCCTGTCACCAGACATTACCACTGGCATTGCTGCCAGTACTGCCCTGCCTGCTTCTGTCGTAAAAGATTCTTAGCAGTATTTGTTTCCTTGCTCTTAATGCAAAATTCCAAGTGAGGCAAGATAAGTTTAGGTCATGTACTCACACCCTTGCTGCAAGGTTGGGAAAGATACTACAGTATGTGGGCTTTCCAGCATATACAGATGGTCCAACTTATGATGGTTTAATTTACCATTTTCAACTTTATGATGGGCCCATTAGGGTATTAAATACATTTTCAAATTATAATATTTTCAGCTTACAATGCATTTATCTAGATGTAACCCCATGATGGGTCAAGAAGCATCTGTATAGGAGAAGGTGGGCTGTATCTTCCTTCAAGATGCATTAGAAGAGGAATCTCCCAAATATACTATACAGAACAGGAAACAACCAGTCCACACTAGTAATCAGTAGATTAGAAAAGGCTACAATTACTAAATAATACTGGAGAAAGTCAATCATCAGATGATACCTAGATTGGATCATTGACTTCCAATCTGTATAATGCACAGTTTTATATAAACAACTTTAGATGTTAAAACGTCACATCCACATGGATTAGGGTTTTATAATATAGACCATTTCTCTGTTTAAATTAAAAAAAGGAATCAGTTTCGTTGACTAGTTGCTGGAAAATTTTCATGGTTAGATAACTTTTGTAATCAGTTTGGTTATCAAATTTAGGATACTTATATGAATTTATAAACAGAATTCTACATAGTTCAGCTGGCTAGAGGAGCTCAAAATTATCTTTAAAAATTTAATAAAAATGTAAAGCTTTTACATAGCAAAATTAAAGACAAATAAAAGGAAGAAATTTAGAACATTTATTACAAAGAAAGATTAGTAGCCCTGATTTATTACAAGCTCTTAAAACTAATAAGAAAAAAAGTATCCCAATAATAACATGGGCAATGTACATGAAAAGACAATTTGGAAAAGGAAGAAATACAAATGGTCAAAAAATTTTTGAAAAGGTTTTAACTTTATTAGTAATTAATTGAATTCAAATTAAAATGAGATTTCACTGTAACATACAAAAGATTACTAATACTCTGTTAGTAGCAGTAAAGAAATGACACTCTCAAAGATTATCAGCAAGAGTATAAATTGGTGTCACTTTTTTAGTAATTTGACTATGTACCAAAAACCATAAAAAAGTAAGCAAACACTTTTGACTCACCATTTTCAATTCTAGGAAAATAAGAAAATAATTAGACAAATACAAAGAGCTACACGTGAATGTTCAGTATGGCATTATTTAAAGAAAATATTAAAAATAATATATAGGTCCATTTTATGGGACTAGTGAAATAAATTCCACACATTATACAGCCATTAAAAAAATACTTATTCCCATATTTACTGACATAGAAAGATACTCAATAGATATTAAATTTTAAAAGGCAGCCTATTAAAATATGTAAAATATTATATTTTTGTTTAAAAATACACACAGACACATTAAAAAATCTGGAGGGCTATTCATTTGGTTTATCTCTCACTGGTGGGCTTACAAATGTGATCATTCCTTTTTTTTTCCTTTTTGATTTTCTAAAAATTTTCATTGTCCTACTATTATGGCCCTAGAACCAATAAAGCTACTTTGAAAAGTTAAAGCCAGAAGCAATTAAACAACTTAAACAATGATGCTAAAGTCAGTCTCTTAAAAGCATAATTTAAAAAATGTGGAAACATATTTTAACACTATATATCTCAATAAAGACATTAAAATATGTAACATTAATTAGCATTAATCTAGTAAGTCAATTTGTAGTATAAAAATAATTTGCTCATTGTTATGTATTAATATTGGTTGACACATAAAGACTACATGAAAGATTTCTGCATCTTCACATGAAATAAGCTAAGTAGATAACTTATGTGATGAATACTTACTCTGCAGAGAACAACTACTTTGTTAATGATAATGGAGTCTACAACAATCATCAAATTCTTGGTCATTTGCAATGATGAAAATTGTTCTCTAACGCACTAAGATTGGGTTTTTTTCTACAGACTCCTCTAGGATGAGGAAATAATGATTTTCAGATACTTTCAACCAAGAGATGTGATCAAAATGCAAAAAGAGATACCTCTATTACAAGGTCATAAATCCTTTCTATAAACCTCAGGATTTATAATGTCACAAATTATGGGTCACTGTCTCTACTTTAGAAAATAAACATTCAACACTTGAATGGATAAAGAAATCAATGTGTTTATGGGCTTAGTGTTAGTGCATATAACTTTAAAGTTTATAAACTATCCCTTTGAACCAAAAATAAATGCCATTAACCACTTAGCTGGATGGGAATTGGGGCACAGAAAGCTTGAATTAATGGCCAAACCAGAAAGGCATGGTGGCAGCAGCAGCAACAGCAGCAATATTCCCCTCCTTTAAGAAGCTGTGGCCTGCAAGTTAGCCCTAAGGAGAAAGAAGGCCACCCAGGTGGATGAGTGTGAGAAGAACCTAGGCTGGGCACAGATTACATACGGACCTAACACAAAAGCTCTGCTGTCACTCAAACCGTTTGTATATATGTGTATTTAATTTTACAAATTTATTTTCAAATCTCATTCCAGAAGGCAGACAAAAATCTACTTCACAGTAAATTTCATGATGTCACTAGTAAGCCATTGATTGGTACGAGTGACATATTACATCTTCTTCACTCATGAAGCAATATTACAACTTCTTTCACTCATGAAGCAATGTTTATAATTACAATATATATATTTAAATGTTAATGACCTTACATTTTACGTGATGAATTTAGATTCTAAAAGGATTGGGTAGCTAATAAAGTGTTATGAGCAAAGTGAAAAATCAAAGGATTACTTCAACTATGTACATGATGATCCCCAAATTTAAAGATCTGAAAAATAAACACTTAAATTGTTTACAAATAATTGTATCATGGTTGATGAATAGAAATACATATACATACTGGGGGTGATACAAATGGATTTTATAAATGAAAAGCATAAAACAGCTTGCTTGATGAGAGAGAAATGAAAAGCTCACGAGTAAACTAGGAAGCAGATCCTTCAGCCTCAGTCAAGCCTTCAGATGCCTGCAGCCCCACCAATATCTGGACTACAACTTCATGAGACCCTGGGCCAGAACCACCCAGGCAAGCCTCTTCCAAAGTCCTGACTCACAAAAACAATGAAATAATAATTGTTCACTGTTTTAAGCCTCTAAGTTTGGGAGTAATTTGTTACACAGCAATAGATATCTAGAACAGTACTGTTTATGTTTTTGAGAAAGGCATAATTGTGGTTCCAGAAATACACATTTCTGGCATCTATTTCACTCTAACTATTCCTGCAGATATTAAACATCTCTGGCTTAGATTTTGAGTATGAGAAAGAGAAACTTACTAAACGTTCTTCCTCTATTATTAATTGTCCTCTGATTAGGACACCTAAGTGTACCCATTTTTCTTCTTAAACCTTTTTCTTTCCTTTTCTACTTCCTGTTCCTCCTCCTACAAATGAAACAGACTCTTGAACCTCCTAAACTCTAATCTTTAAGTTTATTTTACAAATTCACTTTTGTTGGTATGTTTCTTTAAGACTAATAATTATAGCTTTCTTTTAAACTTGTCATGCATAAAATCTAATGTGCTTAAAGTGTTTATTAAATATTTCATTATAATAATATGGGGGGTAAGAACATAAGCAATCCTCAGCCTATAAACTAAAGATATTTGGGATGATTTCTCGGATGTAACAGCTATATAATGTTTCTATGACGTGTAGGAGCCACTTCCTGTCACACTCATCCCCATTATAGCCAATGCCATTAACTATGGGGCCTGCAAGGTATACACAGCAGTAATTCTCCCTTTCCTATACTCCACAAACACATAATTAGCTAGTTACTTTAATTATATGCTATCACGTATTGTTTGCTAATAATCTTTTAGACATTATTTCTGTCAAAACAAGAGCTGACAAATTCCCAATGCAAATTTCATCTTTTGCTTCAACCTTCCCGCTTCCCCGTAAATTACTTACAAAAACCTGAGGTAAAGCTCGGTCCCAAACCCAAAACTGCCTTTATTATGCTTTACCAATAAGTCCTTTTCACTGAACCGTAGTTGCTGTGAAACTTAACATATTTAATTTCTTTAATGGTAAAATACCAAAAGTAAATGCCAAATATAATGCAACTAACTGACAAAGGAAGCACAAATCTTGTTCCTTTTCACTGAAACTTTTTATAGCCAGCAGATCTCTGTATATAAAAATGTTCACTTCCTGTACAACCATTCTAACAAAACATACAATTCTGAATTCTACATGTTTCAAGTCTCAGCAAATTTCCAAAGACATCCTTTTCTGAGGCTGGCGTGATGCAATAATTTTTGAAATGTCATTTTAAGAAAGGGGGCAGAAAGTGCTGATATCAGCAGGGAAGAGACCACGTCACACTTACAGCAGTCAAGCCTCTAGGCAGCCGGGCCCCGAAGGGTTCTTTTATCTGTTAGGGATGGCAATGGGCTCCACGGGCATGACCCTCGGCACCCTGCCTGGGCCAGAGAAACGCCAGGGGCGCGGAGCCTAGGCGAGAGCTGGGTATCAAGGGGCTCCAGAAGGAAGGCGAAGCCAGAAGGCTGCGCCAGGGCTCCTCGCAGACCCGGGGGCCGCTTGACAGCGCCAGCCCACAAGTCACCCACGGCGCCTCGCTCCTGCTCCCGCGCCCTGCCCTTCCAGCGTGCCCTCCCCGCCCGCAACCCGGGCATCCGGACACCATATCCAGGTGGTCCCCGCCTCCGGCCAGCCACCTCGGGACGCAGTTTCGTGATGTCTACCGTGTCCTCTCCCGCCCCTCGCAGCACTCAGCCGTACCCACCCTCGGTTCTCACGGCGGAAGCCAGCAGCGGCGCGAACAGCGGCCCCGCCTCTCTCCGCTTCACTCGGTCAGCACCATAGAGACGCCGGGCGCCGGCCAGAGCAGCGCCGGCCCAGAGGACGCCGGGATACGTGTCTCCCTCCCGAGTGGAAAGCGAACGATGCCGGAGTGCCCTTTGGTTGGGTGGGTAGGTACCTCGAGCTCCCCTCTGCAAAGGAGACCTTTGCGACGTCGGGGTGAGAAGAGAAAGTGCGTGGTTAGTTTACTTCTGTCAAACCTGAGGATTCATTTCTCGGCTTAGTGGCGTCGTGCAACAAACGGGAGCCCTGGCATCCCACGGCACACTCAAGTGGCGGTCAGGAAGCTGCAGACCCAGAAGTGGCCTCACCGATTGTTGGACGCAGGGGCCTTACTCCCTGGCGCTGGAGCTGGGAGCCACGGGCCGTCGGGGGCCTCGGCGACTCCCTTCGTGAATCCTTCAGTGGGGGCGATGGAGAGTTTTTTACGAGACAGAGAGATCACGCGACCCCACGGACATGAAGCCGCTAGGTAGCGCTTCGCCCCCCCTTGGGGATTTTTTGATAATTTTTTGCCACCATGCGGGCGGATGTTGCTGGCCTGCTCTTCTTTGTGGACAGCGGTAACAGGGCTAGAACATTTAGTCATGACTATTAAATTTCAGGAATTGAAAAAGCAACTGCATGCAGGGCAGTTTGACCCAATTAACTGAACTCACAAGATAGTTTGTTTACTGGGACTGTGGCCAGGTCCCATCCCGTCTGTGCCTGGGAGAGGTGGCAGCTGTCTTAGCAGCAAGGAGACATCTAGCTTGATATTTGGCTTTAGGAAGCACTGGCCCAAAGAGGCCCAAGGAGGAAGATTCTTCCCCGTCCTACCTACAGTTTATTGAAACAAGTGTCAGACGGAAAACAAGGGCAGCAGTGGGGTTATATAGTTGACAGAGACCAAAAAAAAAGAAAAAAAAAAAAAAAGGCGGGGAGAATCTTCAATTATCTTCAATTTCAAGCAAACCCCAGCCACTCAAGAGAACTTCACAATTTCTCAATCATAGACTTTTTCATAGCTTGTTACTCTTGGTTCTTAGCCAATGGAAAAGACTCAACTGAGGGGGGGGGGAATTATACACATTTTAACCCCCATATAACTTAAAAACTAATCAAAAATTTTGCCAAATATTATATATTTACAAGTTTGAGTGCTTTTAGCTATGTTAAGGGCAAATTTTTTCTAAATGCAGATTAATGACAATTTGTCATTACCTTTATGGCAGCATGGTACCAAATCTTACCATCATCTAGGCCTTCTGGAGCTATCAAGGAATGGATGGCTTCCTACAAACCAAAACAGAACAAAACTGTTAAAAGTTCTTTTCTCTGTAGTCAGTCTATGGCCTAAGGGCACCGCTTGATTGATGCAACAGATACTGAGTGCTCTGTGTAGGCTACAGAATGACTTTATGGAACTCAAGTTCTAGTGAAGGATATAGATCACAAAGTTACAAACAAGCTGGATAGATTGTAGTAAGTACTAAAAAGGGAATAAATAGGGTGATGTAACAGAGTTGGGAGAGGCTAACTTTAGTCAGGTAGTCAGGGTGGCCCCTCTCAGGAAATGATACCTGTGCTGAGACCTGAAATGTGATGAAATCCAGCGTGAGATAAGCTGAAAATAAAAAAGAGGCATTGTGCCTATTCAATGCACTATTATCACTCCTGATCAACTATACTTTCTTTTCTATACATTTTTTCTTTTTGTTCCCTCTGTTGCTGTTCCCCTTTTATGTGAAGAGCCTGGTCTTTCATAGAAATCAGAAAATTAGAACATTTGTATTTGGTGTAATCTTGAAGTTTTAGATGTGTGGTCTTGCTCTCTTTCCTAATAAACAAGGCTGTAATAAACAGCACTTTTGGTGAGATAATTTCTCTTATTTCATACACTTTGCAGCATACATTTTTTCATATGTTCAAAAGAAATGAAAGTATCCAGTTCATCAGTTTAGATAAAATCTAGTCTTTGCTGAAGTGCTTGATTTTTCAGTATTGCTTAGATCAGTTTTTGTTTGCTTTCTTGAGATCTAGTTCTTACAGTTCTATTGAAAAATACTTGAGGTAGACAGACTAAATAGCAAATGACCAAATGTACAATTTTGCATATTAAAAAAAGGAAAAAAACCTTAAGATTAATAGTGAATGCTCCACAAGATAAAAACAACTTTATAACTTTGTTTTTTTCTCATAAATCTGAATAATCAAATGAAATAATTCAAAATTTCCAAATAGTTCTTTATTAAAACAATATATTACAAACATATTTTAAAAACTTTACAAACTAGGTAAAACACTTCCAAAATTAAATGTCAATTCTCATACAGTCGTGCAGAAGTAATATATACAATTTCTTGGCTTACTAGTAATTTTATACCAGTCACTTGAAACAACAGTCTTAAGATTTAATAACATATTGTAATAATTCCATTTTTCACTTTTTGGAGTTTGATAAAAGACAGTCAATATCCTGAAGGATTTCAGAGGTTTTTTTCAATGCTACTGATACTCCCTTTTCATTAACTTCTTCTAGCAAGGTTTCTGTAGATCTTGGTTTATAATGATCAGAAGACAGTTCATTTTTTTTATTAGAAATCTGGTTTAGGACACCACTGTTCTCCAGGAGCACTGAATTATTTAGTTAAGCTTTTCTCCACATATTCAGTATATAAATATCTTTATTTTCAGAAAAACTAGGCTTCATATTAAAATATTATTTCTCAATTGAAAGTAAGATCTCTTGGATTCATAACAGAGTTAGGACTTCAGAGCTTATCAAAGTCTACCCTTTATAGATAAAGAAATTAGTTATAGTAAAGGGGGAAGGAAAAGAAAGCATGTATGTGTGTGTTTGGGTGGAAATTTGGTGGTGAGGAGGAAATAAAAATTGAAATCTATTAGAAATTAAAATCTATTAAAGAAGTTACATTTAAGTGAAGAAATGTCATAGGAATTAAAAAAAGGTAGGGATGATAGGATTATAAACAATCTGTGTGGTGTATTTTTAATTTAAAAAGATCTAGAGTGAAAAGAAACCTGTCTTATAGGACTACTATATTATTTGAATAAGATTAAAGAAAAATCAGAAGACAAATTTAAATGAATGGAGTGAGAATGTACAAAAGAGGTTGTGTGCAGGGGCTCATGCTTGTAATCCTAGCACTCTGGGAGGCTGAGGTGGGAGCTTGAGCCCAGCCTGAGCAAGAGTGAGACTCCATCTCTATAACAAAATAGAAAAATTAGCCGGGCATGGGGCTAAGTGCCTGTAGTCCTAGCTACTTGGGAGGCTGAGGCAGAATGACTGCTTGACTCCAAAAGGTTTTTTTTTTTTTGAGACAGAGTTGCTCACTGTAACTCAAACTCCTGGGCTCAAGTGATGCTCACGCCTCAGCCTCCCGACTAGCTGGGACTATAGGTGCATGCCATCATGCCTGGCTAATTTTTTCCATATTTTGTAGAGACAGCGTCTCGCTCTTGCTCAGGCTGGTCTTAAACTCCTGACCTCAAGAGATCCTCTTGCCTTGGCATCCCAGAGTGCTAGGATTATAGGCCTGAGCCACCAAGCCTAGCCAAGCCCAGGAGTTTGAGATTGTAGTGAGCTATGATACCACTGCACACTAGCCAGAGCAACAGAGCAAGATTGTCTACAAAACAACAAAACCACGCACAGAACAAAAGGTTTTGTAAGAAAAGGATGTCAGAGATATGGTCTTAAACAGTTGTAATTTAGAATACAGTCATATGAAAAAGTGCCCAAAGGAGACCTTAACCCTAGTTTTTACTGTTCCTTGCCCAATTTAAACCTAAAGAAAAGTATAAATGTCAACATAATGTACCTTCCATAGGTAGGATATATCTTAAATATTTGCTGACTCAAAGCTCTGCAATATATAAGTATGGATTAATATTCACAAAGTATTCCATCTTGAATTAAGCCTAGAATGGAAAGGAAGTATTTAATAATTATGCAGGACAATGCATCCTGTTTAAAGGATACAGTTAAACTTCTGTATTTTTTCAAGTTCAGAAGCAACACACCTGTGCAAGAAAAAAAAAAAGTAAGTTCATGCCAGATGTCTGGTTTTTCATATTTGTGGAATTTCAACTAAGCATACTTTTTTTTTGAGACTCAACTGGTATTTATTGAGTGCATAAAAGTTCCCACCTCAAGGACTTTGTAACTGAATATTGATGTTTGAAGGGAATGGGCCTTCCTGCTACTTCTTAGTACTAATCTGGCATATACTCTACTTTCTTCCCTGCAGTTTACTCAAACTTTAAAAACCTACTGAAATCCCATCCCTTCAGTGAATAAGGATGTTATCCTTGAATTTCTATAGCATTATGTTATTTAATCACATACTTCTTTGTAATGTCTTCTCTTGAACTATTTAACTTTCTGATATTCCTACCTAGATTGTCTTTCTCAGAAGGAAGAATCTTATTTTTCTGTACTTTGTGCATATATTAAGATCTCATTTATATGGAACTCTTAAGGAATGGGTGGTTTGGGAAATCCAAGTTTTTACATAGTTGAATTAGGTATCAAAACATCATAACTATTTTTTATTAAATTCCTTCTTGGATAGACTACCTATTCATGTAATTGTTTTCTTAAGCACAAAAGGTTAACATGATGAACATTAGCCTTTACCATGTTCTACAGAATGAGATATTGGGGTAACTGGTATGGGATAGAGGGCTGAATGCATACAACTCTAGTAGAACCCCTATGTGTGTGTTCTTTGTCCTTTTTCTCATCAAGCTAAATCGAAATATGAGCAGTGGCATGCCACTACAAATAGCGTAACTTGACTAGCTCTCTACAAAATTAATGAGGACATTAGTCTAAAATATCTCTTTATTCAAGTCACTAGAAAAGTCTTCTTCATGTTCATAATAGGCTATGTCACTTGTCTGCTTTATTGGCTTTACTAAAATGGACCACATGCATGCCCTTGTCAGCTTGCATTCTTTTTTTTCCTTGTGCTCCACCCTATGTACTCTACTTTCCTATGTACTCCATTCTCTATGGATGGAGAATGAGAGATATTTCATCATATTAAGCATCTGTGGTAAAGAACTTGGATATGACTTACTCTAAGCCTGCTGATTCTTCATCATTGCAAAACATCTTTTTTTTATTTTTTTACACAAAACACATTATTCTGGGTATAAACAACAATACAATCCTTAATGCTGTTGCTCACATGATGAACCAATATCTTCTGTACTATTTTTTGACTAGCATCCCTATTAAAAAGTTGAATCAGTAAGTTAATTGAGGGTAAGGTGGAAAAAAAAACCACTGAAATACAATTTAGGCATCTTTTTATTGTACAATCTCTTCTCTTCCTTCAGCCTAGCCTCTTTGACAAGAAAACAATCACAGTGGAGATGTCTTAGGCTTTGCTAGGGAAATGGAGCTGCTACTCCTCAATTCCTTTATCTTGTCCCTTCTGCTCCTAGTTGCTTGTACTATTAGCTGCTATCACCAACCTGTCCTTTCACTTTTGAGTATGTCTTGACAATTATCTTCTTCTCAGCTTTCATATAAAAAGTCTGGCATTTTATAAACTTTGCCAGTTGAGCAGTGGTGAAATGATCAGTTTTAAAGCTATGTGTAATTTCCCGTTCTTCCCAAATGTTTTTTGCTAGCTACTTAAGCAACTTTTCTGCTCCTAAACAGGCTTTAGCTGATGGATGAGGGATCTGGAAAGCTGGATCCTTAGATACCGGAGATATTCAAATAACATCTATGGATTTGATTTGAGCTGTTCTAAGAAGTGACTCAGGAAAAGGTGATAAAAATCAGGCTTAATGTTTATATTTAGCTTCACTATACTCTGCTAGGTCACCTCACAATTTATTTTAAAAAACTTCCTAAATTCCCCCTGCATCCTTCTCTTCCAATATATATTTAGGTTATACTCTCAGTGATACTAATTTTCCTAATGACCTTTCTTCCTATCATTTTTCCATTTAGGAACCTGTAATTCTATCAAGTATGAACTCCTCTACTTATTACAAGATCCATTCCTAGCCATCAAAACTCATACTATACCCTAACAGATAGCATCTGCTCCATTAAAACTATCTTCTTACTGACTCCACAGGCCAAAGTATCTTCCTTACTTCTGTCCTTGCTTCTTCCCTAAAATGTCTTATTTTCCCAAAATATTCCTTTGAAGCCCAGTTCTAGTACCTTGCAAACTGAAAAGCACACAAGAAAGACTAAAATGCTTGCTTTATTTGGTTGATTTGCCAATTAATTTGGGGGAGATAACTAATATGATAAAAATTATTTAAAAAGCAACTTTTTCTGAAAGCTTTTTATGTTAGTCCACATTTATTTCCTTTAATATTACTAAAATTTAAGACTTCCCTTTAAAATTTTCCCTAAAATTTTCAGAATAAATTTATCTCATAAAAAGAGCCACTCAGGCCGGGTGCGGTGGCTCACGCCTGTAATCCTAGCACTCTGTGAGGCCGAGGCGGGCGGATTGCTCAAGGTCAGGAGTTTCAAAAAGAGCCACTTATTTTCATGTGAAGTTTTCAATGCAAGGTTTTCTGACCTTCAGATAAAATATAATAAATTAGATGTCTGATTAGAAATAAATTATTTTCAAGCTTAAGGTATAAAAAAATATAGGAGTTAAAAATGTCTAAAACAAAGAAAGTATTTTGGGGGAAAAAAGCCTAACAGTTCACCAGTTGACACTTTAATTTTTAAGTATTAGTTTGGTCTTCTACACAGATTAAGTTTAAAAGAAATATAAATACCAATTTTCTTCAACAGAAGATGAAGGATGTGTAGGCATCTCTCTGGGATTGGTCTGGGTCAGCCTTCTGCACCATGATATTACTGTTGTCACATATCTAGAATGAACATATTAAAAGAAATAGTTAAAAAAATAACTTATATACATTATAAAAGTATAAAAAAATGGAAAAATCATTAAGACAATTTGGGAAAAAACAATAGATCAAAAATGTTAAAGTGAGGCACTTACTGGAGAGTTTTCTAAATTTTTTTCACTGGTCATAGAAAAGGCAAGTTTTTTCCATTATTCAACAAAAATAAAATTATTTACTAACATTTGTGAGTAATAAAAATGACATTTAAGAATCAAAATAGGCTGGGCGCTGTGGCTCACGCCTGTAATCCTAGCTCTTGGGAGGCCGAGGCGGGCGGATTGCTCGAGGTCAGGAGTTCAAAACCAGCCTGAGCAAGAGCGAGACCCCGTCTCTACTATAAATAGAAAGAAATTAATTGGCCAACTAATATATATAGAAAAAATTAGCTGGGCATGGTGGCACATGCCTGCAGTCCCAGCTCCTTGGGAGGCTGAGGCAGCAGGATTGCTTGAGCCCAGGAGTTTGAGGTTGCTGGGAGCTAGACTGCCGCCACGGCACTCACTCTAGCCTGGGCAACAAAGCGAGACTCTGTCTCAAAAAAAAAGAAATATACACAATTTTAGTTACTTGTGGTTGTAAACCTCATGTCAAATCAGAGAATTGGTTCATTGCCTAACATAGCTGACCACACACGGTCCAACCTCCACAGCAGGTCAGTGTGTCTATAACACATTCCATTATGAAAAATCACTTGAATATAAATGGAAATGACTGAAGCTGACTTGATCCTATTTAGTTATGCTAAATACCAGTATAACATTTAAATAATGTTTATATGTCTCCATCAAATAAAAGTAAAACATAAAAATAATTTTTCAAATTGCCTGTCAGTACCTTTCATATGGTCCAGGGTGTTCAATTTGAATTAACTGATCTTGTCCATCAGGAAAAGTTAACTTACACCAACCTAAGGTAAGACCTTGATTTACCTTAAGAAGCAAAAAGGAAAGGTAGGTTTTATCATTCTAAAACTGAAAATAAAAACATAAACAACCCTAACTTCACTAGCAACTTAAAAAATAAGAGTAATCATTAAAAATTTGATAATTTAAACATATTTTACATGGGATATAGGTATTATTTAACTACTACTCATATAAATATCAAAGAGTAAAAATACTAATCCTTTCTGTAATGAGTTATTGTTATAAAAATAGTTATTTGTCATGCAATTCCAATTTTTGCTAGGAAATCCAATGAGATCAGTAAAGTCTCTTGATAGATTTTATGCTTCAAAACATAAATTAAGGCTGGGAACAGTGGCTCATGCCTGTAATACTAGCACTCTGGGAAGCCGAGGTGGGAGTATTGCTTGAGGTCATAAGTTCAAGACCAGCCTGAGCAAGAACAAGACCCCATCTCTACTAAAAATAGAAAAATTAGCTGGGCGTGGTGGCATGTGCCTGTAATCCCAGCTACAGGGGAGGCTGAGGCAGGAGAATTGCTTGAGCCCAGGAGTTTGAGGTTGTTGTGAGATAGGCTGATGCCATGGCACTCTAGCCTAAGTGACAGAGCAAGATTCTGTCTCCAAAAAATAATAATTAAATAAATAAATTGAGGCCAGGCGCTGTGGCTCACGCCTGTAATCCTAGCTCTCTGGGACGCCGAGGCAGGCTGATTGCTTGAGGTCAGGAGTTTAAAACCAGCCTGAGCAAGAGTGAGACCCCGTCTCTACTATAAATACAAAGAAATTAATTGGCCAACTGATATATATATAAAAAATTAGCCGGGCATGGTGGCACATGCCTGTAGTCCCAGCTACTTGGGAGGCTGAGGCAGTAGGATGGCTTGAGCCCAGGAGTTTGAGGTTGCTGTGAGCTAGGCTGACGCCACGGCACTCACTCTAGCCTGGACAACAAAGCGAGACCCTGTCTCAAAAAAATAAATAAATAAATAAATAAATTGAGAGAGTGTGGTACTTTATTTTCTTTGTTCTGTTTTCCACAAATAACCAATAACAAATAGATTTCAATATGAAGTATACCCAACCTGTCTCTTTTCAATGGAAGAGCTGAAATTCCAATTTAGAGTTAGACTAATGCCATCTAAAAAGATAGCATGTACTTTGTCATCAGAGTAGGCAAGAAATCTTCCCACGTTGGGTATGAGTGATTCTTTCAAACGCAAAGGCAATATATTGCTCTCATTTATCCCAGAAACCTAAAACCAAGTAAATAAAAATAGCAGGAAATAGAGTTACCCCTTAATAAAATTTAAATGACTATTAATCAATTCTAAGGCAACTTCAGATTCTTATTCAGAAGCTGAATATTTGTAGAATACTTATGTATGCTTGAATTTTTCCATAAGTTGATACCCTAGTCTATTTATAAGCAGATTTAAATTCTAATATCTTTGAAAAGTCACTGTTCTACTCTGAACTTCACATAGAATGTAGACAAAAGTTAGGATCTACAGCAACATACAGGTTTACAGTTAAATTAGTATAGATACAGAAATCAAAGTATGAGAACCACTTCCTCCAAGTCAGCATTAAAGAATTTATTTTCATAGTTATGAAAATATAGAATACTGTAGTATCATAGTTTATAATAACTATGTTTTCACATACTCAAATTCAATCAATTCTTCTGTCCTTACCCCTCCATTAAAAACAAAAACAAACTATATTCAACAAAGGTATAACTTATAAGCCTGATTTTTCAGTGTCTATTAGTTGGGTATTTTTCTGAATAAACCAATATAAATGTTACAAAGAATTTCTCACATAACTTAGATGAAAGCAGATTGAATTTAGAAGTATAGATACAAATAATAAAACAATTGAAAATATCATGTTTTTAAAATAATTTTAACATACCATTTTCCAGCAGCATACACAATAGTTATGGCTTAAAGAAAGTCTCATCTTCGCACAATGTTGAAGAATTCTGTGAACATGAATAAGACTACTTAAACACTTGCAAATAATGACATTTTCCAATTCTAGCAACTCATTCTCAATGCGAAACAACATTTTAGTTGGCAAGTAACTCATTTCCAGTGAAATATTTTGGGAACTCCTTGTTTCCAGAAATCTTTAAGCTCCTAGAAGGGAACTATTGTTGCTTTCCTAATCTTACCTGCATAAGGCCATTCCTCTTTTAGCAGTGAAAAGAGAGGGAATGAGAGAAGAGGTGATTCACAGTGCCTAGAAGGTTTAACTTAGCCTGAAAGTGGTGGGGATGTGAAGGAAGTACCCCTAGGAAGTCAAATTACAAAATACGTTCCTTTAAACCTATTTTCAAAGAAGCTTAGACACAAATTTATAAAAAGAACTAATTTAATTCAACAATCCACTTTCATTCTTCTGGGTGCCACAGACTGAGAGAATTTTTAAAACATATGAACCACAGAATGACACTACACTTCATCTTTAGTACACTCTCAGAAATCTTTATTACTTTGAGGATGATAAAGAAGTATGAAAATTTCAAATACATCATCAAATCCCCAACCCGATTTCAAGGAACAATAATGATGCCACACTTACCCAGAGGAAAGGCACTTATTTCCTTTTAGCTCCTGCTCACCCAATATAAATGTTTCTCCATATTCAGATTTCAAAGCCAGAACTACTCTTATAATAATAATAATATAGTCTATTTTATAAATTATGAGACCAGAAAAGTTGACAAATTTTGCCAAAGACATGTATTTCCGTTGTACCTGCCAATTCTTAATCTTATTCTTAATCACAAGAATGTGTCATGGTTTTCAGACAAGTAACACCTGATGCAGTTGAACATGAAGAACTTACCTGGTTGCCTGCTTAATTAGAGAACACACAGAGAACAGACTTCCTGGTCTATCTGGAGGAAGGTTATTTACTGAATAAGTTTTCTCTTCTCTCTGAAAATTAGTTTAAAATGAAAACCTCATTAATAATAAATTTTGGCCCTTATTACTTAGCTATTTTTTTTTAAATATGTATTTACATAATGACAAGCAAGCAGTTATTTTAACCGAATCCCATCCAAGTACTAACCAGGTCTGACCCTGCTTAGCTTCTGAGATCAGACGAGATCAGGCACATTCAGGGTAGTATGGCCATAGACTATTTTAACAATCTAATGCCTATAAAATCTGTATGTATTTAAAGGTATTTTATGATGTTTATCCATTTTCCATTTTTTAAAAGTATAGAATTCCTCCATTCCTCATATCCGCTCAAAAATTACATTCTAATAGCATGTAACTTACTGCCCAAGTTAAATATTGGCTATACTTAAATTAACATAGTAACCAAACTAATTTTCCTACACATTAGCTGGAAATTTATCACATAAGCCATTCTTCTCTCTTAAGAGGAAAAAAAAAGACTACATAGGTTTAAAAAAACAATTTTAATTGAATGAATATATCATTTTGTTATATTTTATGAACAGAAGAACTATTGCTACAGTTTGTGGAAGACAACATTATTTACAGGCTCAGGTTCTTGTAATAAAAAGAAAAACATTTTATTTTGTTATTCCTTCTGAATTTCCTCTTTCTCAGAGTAGCTAGTGTTTCCCAGGACTCTGTCTCCAGCCTTCTCTTCTGACTTCCTAATTTCTTTTTAGGTAATCCCCACAATGTCTAAAGCTGTGTTCACAATAAATATCATAATAGCAACAGCTAACATTTATGGAGCAGATACTATGTGCTAGGCATTATGCTATGTACTTTACATGGATTATCTCACTCCTCAAAATAATACTGAGATAAGAACTATTGATGCCTGTTTTTTAGATAAGGAAACTGAGGTTGAAGTGTAAGAAGCAGCAGAGATCTGATTTGAACCACAAGACAGTGTAGCTTATGTTCTCTACCATCAGGGAAAGAAGATGGGCTTTGAATTTGCAGCCAGTCAGATCTGGATTCAAATAGCAAGTCTGCTGCCTCTTATGATAATAATGGGCAGGCCATACAACCTTTTGTAAGCCTCAGTGCCTAAAACTCATGAAATGGGGATACTACTAAACATCCAGATTGTCCTGAGGATTAATGATATAATACAAATATAAAGCACCTGGGACAGAATTTCGTGCATAGTAGGTATGCACACACACACACACAAAAAGTCTCTCTTCTTTTAATCTAGCATGTAGATTTGAATATCTAAGTCTCTACTGGATTTCTCTTCTGGATATCACAATAGACATCTCAACTTCAACACGTAAAAATAAAATTATCTTCACTTCAAAATTTGCATTTTCACATTCTCTACTCTGTATTTATCTCTGGTGTGTCAATCATCACATGTTGTTCTCCCTACCTGGAACTCAATTCCCTCCTTGAGCACTTCCCTTTGTCTAACATCTATTTCTCCTTCATTCTCAGGGGAGCCATCACAGAGGACTCTTCAACTAGGAGAAATCCCCTAATTATGTCCACAAGCACAGTTCCTTCTACTCCTGCTGCTTGATCTTTATCACAATTTCAATTAAATAGTTTTTTACTTAATGTTTGTCTTCCCTGCTAGAATGGAGCTCCATGAAGGTAGGGGCTGTATCTGTTTTGCTCACCTCTGTAGCCCCAGCATGTATGAGCACAGTTCCTAGCACATGGTAGGCACTCAAAATATCACAATTTATTTTGGATAGCGAGTTTTATTGTATACTGAGTTCTACTGGACACAGTTCCCTAAGGGATCTCATCTTTTCCACTACCCTATTTCATCAGTTCTAAAATGCATATTTTCTATAAATTTAATCTCTCTGAGATCTGGACACATTTTATAATTAAGAGTGTCTGACAGTCTATTAGGCAGGTGGAGTTGAGATATACTTCAATTTAAATCTCCTATTGATACCTCCTGGTTAAGATCAAAAAGCAGCCATCATCAAAACAATTTAGATTTGACAAAAATTTTGGTTTCATACAGTGCCTGGCACTACCATTCATCAATTTATTCATAATTTGGCATCCCTTTCAATTCCTTCCTCATCCCCAATATCCAGTCAGTCATCAATTCTGTCCCTTAATATTTATCTAATTAGTTCTACAGCTTGAAGTTTTACCTCTTCCCTACCCAGTCCATCTTCCTCTAAAACGATCTAACAAAAATCTGATGTCATTTCCCTACTTAAAAATCCTTCAGTGATTCCCCACAGCAGTAAGGTTTCTCATGCTCAATTTATGCACTGGCCCAACTTAGTGATCTAGCCTCTTCTCCAGACATTCCTACCAAGATTCTGTTTCTGTTTTGGTCTTCCAAACTGCAGTATTTTCATTTCCTTCAACATTCCATGCTCTCTCCAGTCTCTTATATCCAGTTAGGTGTCATTTAGCCACTGTTCTAAACACTAACAATAACAGTATATTGAACAAGCCCTGTCTTGTAACAGAGCTTATCTCTAGTGTGGCTGACAGTAAACAAACATACATCAATAAGAAAATGTCATCTCATATTAAAAGAAAAAAAGATGAGGGTAGCATGATAGAGAGTGTCATGGGTAGCTTCTTTAATTTGGATAGTGAGGAAAAGCCTCTTTGAGGAGTTACATTTAGGTAGAAATTTGTATGACAAGAAGCCAGCCATGCAAGGAGTTGTTGAGAAAGTAAATTGTTCCCTTAGCTATATGCCCCCACCTCCATCCATCTTTCGTGCAACCCCTCCTTTAGAATCATAGATCCTAGCTTAGCCATGTCTTCCTTCAGGAAGCATTTCTGGAGCCTTAAACACTGGGTCAGGTGCTACTCCTTATGTGGTCCCAAAGGTACAAGTTCTTACCTCCTTGGAAGCACTTACATTGTGAGTACTTGTCAAGCATTCCTATTTAAATTTCTAGTTACACAAGTAATAAAACATTACTATGTTTTTGTAAAAAAAATCACAACAAAAAATACTAGCATTGGCCAGGCAAGGTGACTCAAGCCTGTAATACTAGCACTCTGGGAAGTAAAGGCAGGAGGATCACTTGAGCCTAGGAGTTTGAGATTGCCGTGAGCTATGATGATGCTACTGAACTCTAGCCAGGGTGACAGAGTGAGACTCTGTCTCAAAAAAAAAAAAAAAAAAAAAAAATACAAGAATCTTCCTTACATCTTCCTGACTCCTCTCAAAAAGTAACTACACCAGTTTAGTTTATATCTGCTCAAATCTTTTCTTGTACATTTACATGTACATTATAGACAATAATTTATAGGTTTTGAGTTTAGAGTTTGTTCTTTACATAAAAAATACCACTGTAGATGTTTCGATGCAACTTTCTTTTTTTACTCAACAGTATCTTGGAAATTTTCCTGTATCCATCTATCTATGATCTACATCTTCCTAATTCTTTTCAACTGCTGCACATTCCTATAATTTGATCACTATAATTTCTTTCACCATTTCTCTATTGAAGGTTGCTCTGAGTTTTTTGCTACTATAGACAGTGCTGTAATCCACATCCTTGGCCATTCATCTTTGTACATCTGAGCAAATGTTTTTCTAGGCTAGATACTTAGAAGTAGAATTTCTGATTCCCTTTACTTGATATGAATTTGTCCCTCATGAAGATAGAACCAATTTATCCTCCAACCAACATTATGAAAGCACCCCTTTTCCCACACTCTTTCCAGCAATAGATGTCATCAATAATTTTAGTTTCTGACAATTTGATAAGTGAACAATGTTCTGTCATTGTTATTTTAATTTGCATTTCCCTGATGCAAGTAGTAAAGTAACATGTTTTCAAATGTTACGGGGTTTTTTAAACTTTATATTGCCTTTTTATGGTTTAACCATTCCTATTAGGGTTTTTTTTTTTTTTTTAATAAACATACAATTTTTCTGGATATTTTTTGTCTTTTTATCACTGATTTATAGTACAGAATATTTTCTTCCAGGCCTTTGCTCGCCTTTTTTACTTATCTAAATTCAATAGAAATTTTAAATATTTAAAATTTAACATAAGTTTGAAAATGTCAAGCTTGTCAAACGTTTCTTATGCCTTGGGATTTTCTGTATTGCACTTAAGAAGGCCACCCCTAATGAAAGATTATAGACATCATTCTATCATTCTTCCATACTGTCTTCTAACAATTATAAGTTTGGTTTCTTACATTTAGCTCTTTAATTCATCTGAAATTTATTTTGGAATATGGAATAAAGTAAGGAACAAACAACTTTATCCCCAAAAGAGAGTCACTTGTTTCTAAATCTTTCCACTAAAGCAGAGAAAAGTGAATATGTTGCAGACAAAAGTCTGAGAGTAAATCACAAAGCTTCAACACCATTTATATCCACCACAAATATAAAACTTGTTTGGAAATTTTGTGCTTTATCCCAAAAGCTCATACTCTACTCCATGGTATGTTTGCTTCAGTATAAAAATCATCACCCCTCCCCAATACCTTTATGTAAAACTGAAGCTCGAGGAAGATGTACTATGCTTATCTCGCAATCTTGCAAACCCCTAATATACAGCAGTGTGACTATGCATAGCCGCTCTATTTGCCTGTTTACTTGTCTCATGCTCTACATATACATATAGACATACATGCATATATATATATATATATATATATAAAAAAAACTGGTCACACTTTTATCTCATTTGCTTGTTTGCCTTTCTGACCACTAGACTGTGAATCCTTGAGGGCAGGAACTCTTTCATCACTCCTAGTGCTTATCAGAGTGTCTTCCAAAAAGTAAGTGTTTAGTTAATATTTATTGAATAAATTAATACTTTCCTAGAAATAGGCCCCAGTAAAGAATATGCTCCAATATATACTAAAGTACTTATGAATGAAATGATATTTGGGATTTACTTAAAAATAAATAGGGAGTGGGGGAAAGTATAGATGAACAAGCTGGGTGATGGATATGTGGGGGTCTGTTATGCTTATCTCTCTCTCTACTTTTGTATAGGTTTAAAATT